TAATTGATATAAACGTTGTCGTATCGGTTAAAACAAATCAGTTAAAGAATCAAGAACGTATTAATGGATTAAAAGAAGTTTTAACAGATTAAAACTGCACTTTTAACAGATTAAAAGAATCTTTTAACAGATTAATTAAACCAATGAGTTTTGAAAATCTTCTATAAAAACAGTTTGGCTTGAACTTTTTAACATACATTGAATATATCATCTTTAAAAAATAAATAAATTTATATATATATATATATATATATATATATATTTTTTTTTGCATTTTAATTTTCAAATATTAATTTTTTTATGAAATTAATTTTAATTAAAAAAATTAAAGTGATACATATATATATATATATATATATATATATATATATATATATATATATATATCCAACTATTAAATTATTCAAGATATTAATATAAATTTAAAATATCAATTCAGTAATTAAAATAATTTTAATTTTTTATAAATACATTGAAATACATTTTTATTAACATACAAGTAATATATATATATATATATATATATATATATATATATATAAAGAAACTAAATTAATAATTAATTTAATTATTGATTTAGTGATCGATTCGATGACCGAATCAGTGACCGATTCGATGACCGAATCAGTGACCGATTCGATGACCGAATTAGTGACCGAATTGGTGATCGAATCAGTGACCGATTCGGTGACCGATTCGATGATCGAATCATCGACCGATTCGATGACCGATTCGGTGACCAAATTAGTGACCGATTCTGATGACCGAATCGATGACCGATTCGGTGACTAATTTAATAATCAATTTTAATTTTTTTATTCACATGCTAAATTAAAAAATAAAATCAAATAATTATATTACTAAATTATTTAATAAGTTAGTAAACAATTTTTTTAAATATTTATAATGTTATTAAAAATGTTATCAATTATTTTAAATTATTAAGTAAATTTATATTTAAAATATTTTAAATAAAATATTTATATAAATGAAAAATAGTTATCAGTTTAAAAATTATTTTTTTAGTGACTGAAATTTTAGTCACTAAATCAGTTACTAAATATAAAAAAAAATCAGTAACAAAAATAATTACATAAATTAAATATAGATTAATTAAAAAAATAAATTAAATAATAAAGTGACTCGAAATAAGTAACCGATTTTATGTGACCGAAAATTCGGTTACTATTTCGATTACTAGACTAAAAAATAATAATTTGGTTATCGATTCGGTCACCGATAGTAACTAAATTTTTCGATCACTGATTTCGATTACTATTTGACATTTTTCTAGTAGTGAATAGAATTGAATAAAATAATAAAACAATGTAACTATATAAGGTAAATAAACATAAAATAAAAAAAAGTTGCAAGCACTTGAGAACACTAGAAGAAGGAAAATTATGAATGCTACGTAGGTCCCATCAGTGGCGGATCTTCTTGGGAGCTTGGAGGGTCGTGGCCCCCAAAGTTTTGTAACTCCCATGTAATTTATGATTTTAGCTCCCCAAACTTAATTAACATTTAATATATTTACTTGTATATTTACAATTGTATCCTTTCAGCCCCTACTCAGTTTTGTAACTCTCATATAATTTATGATTTTGTCTCTCTCTAACTTAATGAGCATTTAATATATTTAAGTATATATTTACAATTTTATCCTTTTACCCTTTCATCTTCTTTCTTCCTTTTATATTTATTTATTATTTATTAATAATATATTATTTGGCCCCCAAGATCAATGGTAAAGATCCGCACTTGGGTCCCATGGATGAGAAGAAGCTTAGGCTTAGCATCAAAGTAAATACTTGTTCCCTTTCCTTTGGCAGGATTGCTTGCAATAATACTTTGAAGAGTACATAGTACACACTTTGATATATAATTTAATTGTTTTTATACACTGTGAATCGGGTTAAAATTATTGTGTATAATAGCTTTACTAATTTTTATAATATTTATTTTCAAATTATATTTATCATTATTTATAAATGGTTAAAAGTATATATAATATTTTTGCTGATGATGTATTAATTTTAAATTTTATTGATTATAGTTGAGTAATTTAATAGAAGTATTAATTTTCTTATCTCATTTAATAAAGAAAAATAATTAACTAGATGATATATTAAAAAACATTTACATAATTAAATATATTTTTATATATGTAATTAATATATATTTTTATTTGAAATTATTAGATGGGGATTGTAGCTTATTACCATTGTTATATGTTACGGATTTTCACTAAAAGAAATTAACTTTTATCCAAACACTTGGGCGTGGAAAATTTGTTGTTAGCAAGGAAATTCTTAATGAGCACGTTTAATGATACAACACATGTTAAAATATTAGTAGTTAAAGTGTTTTGGATAAATATTCATTTGTTTCAATTTATATTAAAGAGTGGTTTTGTTAATGGCAAAATTAGAAATATATAGAAAGGAATAAATCAAGAAATGTAAAGAATCACTTACTTAGATTTAAATCCGATATTCTAGAGTTAGAAATTAATAGTATAATCACTATGCTACTAAGATTTTATGCTAATAACATATAAATTATATTTATATACAAATAAATATATATACGTGTAAATATATAAATATAAAATATATTTAGAGTTAGAGATTGATACTCTAACAACTATACTATTAAGATTTTCTCGATAATAATTTATAAATAAATTATATTTATATACAAATAAATGTATATCCGTGTAAATATATAAATATAAAATATGTAAATACAAATATATTTATATATTTTGATATATTTCTATATTTATATATTTTATATATTGAATGTGAGAGCACACTTGAGGGTGAAAATGTGTGTCGAGTGATTTTTTTCAAAATTTGATGTCAAAATTGTGAGCGGGTATTTTATATGAGTTTGTAATTTAATGACAGAATTAATATAATCTTTATAATTTATTTATATAATGATATAAAATATTTTTTTCTTTATTAATTTTAATTTATTCTTTTTATCTTTTATTATTTAATTAAAATTATTATATTAAAATAATTTTTTCAATATTAAAAATACTTAAATATTTATTTTTAAAATTATTTAATTTAAAAAGTTATTATAAATTAATCTAATTATGATTAAATTAAATTATTAAATAAAAAAAGTATTTAATTTTTTAATTAGATGAATAATTAATTTATTATAATATATTTAAAATTAAGTAATTATTATATAATTTTAAATATTTAATTTTTTTAATTTAATGTTGATTTTAAAAAATATACTTTAAATCTGTTGGTAATGTCTGTCGGTAATTAATTATTTATTTACCGACGGATATATCTATCGAGTAAGACCAAATTCCACAAATACTTTAAATTTATTGGTAATTTTCCTTGGTAATCACTCATTTTTTGATGGCTACATATCCGTCGATAATTAATGATTTTTTTGTAATGGTGATGTGATTTGTCCAACATTAAAAGTTGAATAGTTGAAGACATAAAAAATAGTGGCATAAATAGATAAAGATAAGATATGATGAGGAAGTAATATAATCGAAAGATATGCAGAGACAATTATTATTTTATTATGATATATGCACACTAATAAGTGGTATATGACAATAATGTGAATAAAAGAAAGAGATGACACTTGTAATAAAATAACCGTTCGTGAATTTTTATTTGATTATATTTTACTTTTTATTTTATTTATTTTGATAATTTTATTTTAGTGGTTATACGTAAGAAATATATAAATAGGAAGAAATAAATGTAAAAATAGTGATTATCAAATTGTACAAAATACTTATGATATGAAAAAATGCTACGAATAAACAAAATATTTTCAATGAAATTCTTTACCATTTAGATTGCTACTTTCATTAATTTTTATTATTAATTTGTGTTTTATCTTTGATAATAAATTAAATTTATATTTCTATAATTTATTTTTTTCATATTACTTTACATAAATTTATTTTTATTATCCTTTATTATTTTAATAATTTACTTTAAATATTTCAAAGAAAATAAATATTATATTATCTGTGATTGAGATATATTATGTTTTACTATTTTAATAATTTACTTTAAATATTTCAACTCATATTGAAAATAAATATTATGTGTGATTGAGATATATTATATTTTAAGTATATTAGTATTAAAACCAATTACATTATGTTTAAACGATTTATCACATGATACAAATTTAATTAATCAAATAATGAATTATTTATACTAGAAATAAGTTTATAATTATAATTATTTTCTTTTATACATAATTTATTAAATTTTATTTTAAAATTTATAAAAACATTTAAACATTTACATTGTTTTAAAATTTGTGTAAACCTTAATTTTATCTTCGGAAGGGAAACCATCAAAGCATCTTGAATTCATTCAAAGTCAAAGTCAAAGTCAAACATATCAGACCGGATCAACACTACCTATTAATTTATTATTAAAAAACCAAAAAAAAAAAAATTCGGCAAAGTGAAATTATAATTTAGTTATCCATCAGAAAATTATGATTAAAAAATCCTATTACCCAAAAAAGCCTACCAAGTTAGATTGTGGGGGAAGTTTTATAGCATCTGTCAGTTATATATCCATATTCAATAATATAGAGCATTATTCTACTACATTCTCATTTCTGAATGCCCCTGCAATATTTTACTACAAAATATTTTACAGTACCTTTATTTCTTTTAATACATCAACTTTCATCTCATACTTCTTTTTTACTTTTCTTATTTCACTTTTTTGTGAAAGTATAAACGAATTCTACACATGAATTTTTTCAAACAATACTGTCTAGGGTCTTACATTGCTGGGTCCATGCTCATGATTTTTCATTCGGTTTCCCACCTATATATATTCTCAAGAATACCTCACACTACATTTTTTTTTTTAATTAATTAGTAGTTCACATCACTTTGGGATTGCCTTTTCATTTTTCCTGCATCATTCTTCTTCTTCTTCTTCTTCCCTTTCTCTTACTGTGAATTGAGCCAAAACATGAATAGAAATGCACATAAGGAGGAAAACACATGCTGCTATTTCCATCCAAAACAAGTAGTTGTTGGTGTGTGTCCCTTGTGCTTGAATGAGAGGCTCCTCATACTTGCTGCAAAACAAGACCATCACCATCATCATCATCACCATCACAGGCTTCAAAGTTCCACTCAGAGGAAGCCTTCAGCTTCTATTCACAAGATCTTAACTTTTGGTTCTCTCTTCACTCGCCACCAATTCAAATCTCGCTACTATGATCAAGATGATGCCTCTCCCAGCCCAGAAGGAAAGACCTTATTTTACCCATTGCTTCATATTTCTATTGTCAAATTTTATTACCCTTTTTTCTGTTTGTTCTCCCTCTATGCTTAATTATAATTTTTATATACAAAAAAAAAAAAAAAAGGAAGGTTCATCTTCTGTGGGGTTAGATAAATTTATAAGTCTTATCATTGGTGGCTGGTTTTTATCTTCTTTTCTTTAATTTTCGTTTACACCTCGTTTAATGTGCATACACGGTGGGCGAAAGAATGGTATTAGTTGATGGAGAGTTAGAGCATAGCATGTGCATGTGTGAGTGATTATCTTCATGTGCAAGATTATATTACGATGACGATTAAGGTAAAAAAAAAACGTAGCTGCTAAGAGTGCCAAGACACCATAAGGTGAAGCTTTTCAATTTTCATTCTTTATTGATCCATCTTCAATTCTTCTTCTTGGCATGGCGTGTGGGAGTCATACGCAAGCGACAAGAGAACTATAACACAGAAAATATGTTTTGTTTGAGATTACAGATTTGCTGGTGAATTGAGTTACAAAACAAATTATTGGGCAAGATGTCATTCATGTTTCTGACATATACGATGCTATTCTTGACGATAAATATGTCAATGTCTAAAACAGTTTCTACAAAAGTTGCATCAATTAACTTCGATTACGAACCCCCATCTAACTTGGACAAAAATTCATCATGTAGATGCATAAGTTAGTGTGTATATGGGTGTTATGTTAATTAATCTTAAGCAAATCTATGTATCTATTCCATTGACTTGTTTTGTTTGTTATTCTATTATGTACATCTAACATTAAAACATGTTAATTTGTCTTATGTGTAATAGAAACTACATAGTTTATAATTTAAACCTAAACTAAGCATACATTAATGAGCCTTTTCTATTAACTTTCTTCTGTAGAAATCATAGTGAATAATATATAACAATTTTTTTTTTTTTTTTATGTTGGTGGTATCTTCAAATTATAATGACAATGAGGAATTGTTTGAACTTTTCAGACTCATTCATCTCAATAAAGTTTGAAGAAAATGGAGTGGCTTCATGGGAAAAGAGCACCCTATCCAACATGTCTAGTAAGGTATGTGTAGAGGACAAGGTCCTAGACAAGGACGCGAAGGAGAACAAGAGCGTGATAGAGCATGGAAAGTCAAACAACGCGTTTCGATGGAGAAAGCGTATGGGCCGTTTGGTCCACTTCATCCAATGGAAGAGGTCCAATAAGGGTGGTGTGGGCCATGTTGGTACCAAGGTTGAAGGAGTAAAGGTTAGAAAGGGTTGGATGAGAACTTTGACAAAGAGGAAGACCGTGGAATAAAGGGGTAAAAAAGAAAGTGACATGTACCAACAACACTTCCTTTTTTTTTTTTTCTCTCCCTCTTTTGTGGTTACTACTTACTACTACTACTAAGTGTGAATGTGAAGTTTTAACAACATAGTATAATACCACTACTCAGAAGAAGAAGGAAAAGGTAGAGTCAAAAACAGCTTTGTTGATTGATCCATTGAAAATGTGCTTTAGATACATGAAAGTTAAAAAAAGTGAGTGCTTTGCATGCTTTGAGGACTTGGGAATGAGGTTCTTGTAATTTTTTTTTGTGTTTTTTCTGGTTGTTGTGGCATGGACATGTAGTACAGGCTAGCTGTAAATGAGAAAAACATTTGAGTGTTCCTTTCCATACGGCACTGCCAAAAAAACCCATGTTAGGTAGCCATAGTGGGAAACAAATTAAGCACAAGGGCCCTATAACATTGTGCTATAGGGCTTCTTCTGATAGTGCCGAAATCTCTTGTTACCTCATTCTTTTCCAAATAATGTTCAATTTTTTTTTATTCAACTGCTACATGTTTAACTGCCACCATTTGTATCCACGGAATTAAAAAAATTCATTGTCCTGACAATTTTTTACATACCAAATATATATTAAAAACTGCAAAAGAGGATTATGAAGAAAAGATTTCCTCACAATTCTGGCGGAATTCAGCTGATGAGTGATAGATAGATAGATAGGTTGAATGTGTCCCTATTTGTCTAGAGATAGAGTGGACCTGAACCTATAAAGCCTTCTTTCATTCTTGGTGGGAAAAAGGAGGAAAAACCCACCCCATTTATTTCATTGCATGTGAATTTTGGTACAATTCAAAGATAAAAGAGGAAAAACTACAAACCAAGGTGAGGTGTCTCCATCATGTCAGAGAGCCAAGTGTAATTCCAATACATTCACATATTTTTCTCTTATCTTCATTCCATCATCCATGCTTAATTTGGAACCCATTCTCAATGCATGCTTTCTTCTAAACTGAAATCACAAATTTCTTCTAATGTCCTTTCTTCATCAAAATAGGGTTTAAGAGTGTCTTTATGTTGTGTATTAACCAAATGCTATTTAGATTCAAAACCCTACATTTGCTAGGCTTCCCTGTTCCTATCGATTTAGGGTTTAAGGTGTAAAATTTGAAGGAATATCGATTTTTATCTTAAATATTGAATTTAATAAAAATAAAATAATTATCATAAATAAATAAGACCATAACTTAAACATATGTAATATGATTATATTTTCAAAAAAAAAAAAACTCAAAAAGTATATTATAAAGAAATAAGAAATATACTTACATATTCTTTTCTATTATAATTTAATGTTTCAAATTTTTGAATAAACACTTCAAATTGGGTCTTCACTTGAAAAGGTGACAAACATTAAAAAAAAAACAATGATTAAAAAGTAAAAGACGAAATTATGAATAGTGATTATCCGTTTGGACTGATCAACATATAGAATGATGAGTATGTTGAAGATTGATGTTGCGCTGAAAAAAATCTTCTAGGTAAAAAAAAAAAGATTTGTTAAATTAAATAGATAAAATTAAAATCTATAGAATAATATCAACGAAAGTTTTTAACCATATTAGATTCATTTGCTGGAATTATCCATATTCAAATTCATTTCAGTTTACGAGATTTCCTTTTCTATCTTTCGATGGAATTTTCCTTCATCCAAATGATTGAATAAAAGAACTAATGCTACATACACCCCATTTTTACTAAGGTACCATCCCCATTTCTCTTCCTTTTCCAGTTTTCTTTTTTCTTCTCCTAAGGGAATTCCTTAACAGTAACCTCTCTCCCACTCTTTGTGTTTCCCAACCCTGCGACTTTCATTCACTCTCCCTCCTCCACTGCATCACTACTTCCATGCTCTCAAATTGAAGCCTTAAGTTATCACTCCATCTCCACGCATCTCTGTTACAGGTAATCGCATTTCCTCTCAATTCTTTAATCAACGTTTTTTCTACCCTTCACTCAAGTAGACTTTGAAAATACGTTATTATTTATAATTTTAGTTTAGTTAAAATTTACGCATTTTAAGTCTCTACAATTAACAAAATTTTAAGTTGTAGCTGATGCAAGAAGTTGAAGATTTGATGTCTTAGACCATATAAAGCTGCAAACGTCTACCTTTGCCTGAAATCTTCAAATATGCAATTCATGTACTTGCTTTTCTTCGTCGTAGTTATTACTAATTATCCGTTAATAGATTCCGTTTTCTTTTTCATTTTGGTTTGGCCAACTCTCAATTCATAAATGTAACCCTCTTTTGTCTTTATCAATTAGAGCAGTGACTGCGATACATTACTTGCTAGTAGTAGGTGCGCCGTAATTCAATGTGAGTGACTAGATACATTACTCAAAAGCATAAGGTGCCTTTTGTCATCCTATTTTCTGAACACCCACCATTTTGTGTTTCAACCGTTTGATGAAAGTTGTCAATGAAATTTCCTTTTTAAAACATGAGTTCTTTTCAGTTTAAGGTTTTCACTTGTTTATTACATAATCTTTTTCCTACCCACTGTGAATATTTTGTTTTTTCTAGTTCACTTTTGAGCAACAAGAGTGCAATAAGACCATGTTTTCCCTATATTCATTTCATCACCTCTTGGATATTGTCTCTTCTAGAAGACAATTGTGATGGATTTGGTCATGCTCAAGCTTGATAGCATAGCCTGATTCTAATCACCAAAAGCATTTTACTTCCTCTAACTAGGTACGTAGGTAGTAAGAAGAGCCCAACTTCAGTTAAGACAACTTATATATCCTTGCTACTTGTTCACAGACTCCATGGATCAATCATCACCGTCAAAATCTTTCTCTGTTCTTCAGTATGCAACCCTCGTTTAAGAATCTAGGTATGAATTAGATATGTATGTACTATTGAGATGTTGTGTGCTAAAAAATTTAGACTAGGAGAAACACTCCGCCTGTTATTGTAATTTTGAGAAAAACATCAATTTTATCATAGATTTTTGGTGAAATTTGTAGCCTTTAATAGCAAAAATTAAAGAATCATATTTAGGTCACATCTAGTGTAAACAAAGACTCAACCATAGGATTGTATTAACTGTTGTTCGCAAATATCAATTTGACTGTATTTTAAATATTTATCTATAAGTTTTGAGTGTATTTGTAATTGATAGATACATACCAGTGGAGCAATAAATAAGGTAAACATGTAATCTAAAGTTTATAGAGAAGAAAGAGTTGATCGTATCATAAATTGCATTAAGACAATCTTGGACCATTCATTATCTACTGTATTTGTATATAAAACAATATTTGACCATTGCTTTTTTCTAGGATTGCACTTTGTTCTGTAAAATTTCATTTGCTCCACTACACTAGTCTAAAATGTATCAGAGATGGGTAAGATAAAAGGGTTAATGAATTATGATGCAGTAAAATGGCTCTTGTAAATTTTAATAATCCATTTTCTTTTCCTTTTCTCCCTATATTACTGTGTAAAATTATTCATGGTCCAAATATGCTCACACAGTAATATTTGCATCGAGTTGATATAATTGGTAGATGATACAGTTAAAGGAAGAGAGCAAACTATTTAATATCATGCGTATGTCTTGTGATTTGACTAAAGACAAAGGAAAAAGCATGAAATGGAAAATAGAGATGTGGCATAAGATAGAATTAACTTTAAGATGTCAACATGAATGCATTCCTTAATGGCAAATTATCCCGAATAAGTGGTTTCGGGTTGCAATATGGAAAACAAGTAACTACACCCAAATTATGTGGTTCTCATGGTATCTTTGCATGCCCTGTTTCTTGAATTTACTTTCCTTTTTCTTTTACGTTTCTGTTGAAGAGACATTGCATTTCATTCTTAGATAATTAGTTATATGGTCTGTTGGATTTAACTTCTATATTTATTAGAATTCATTTAAAGAGACATTGAGTTCAAATATTGGGTGGGATAGTTTGGTCTTTAAACATATGGCTTCTTCATGTTTATGTATCCAGACCCATACCGTACCCATTAAGTTTATGTAACATGGGACTTAAGAATCAAAATCTTATACTACATTTTTATAATATGGTACGTATGGTGGTGTTAGCTGCAATAAACTATTTTCTTTTAAATTATTATGAACTTAAATATTCCATCAATGAAATTTAGGCTTATATTAGAGACTTTTGGAACTAGTATGTAGTTTATTTAACATATCTTGAAACTCCACTGCACTACAAAGTAAGATAGTTTATTAGAGAGTAATGAAAATGAGACTCAAACTCCAATGCCCGACTGACTATAATATCAACTATTGAACTTAGAATCATCCTGTGATTAATCACTTATGTCATAACTCAGAAGCTCCTTAACATTCAGCCTTGCTTTTCATGGAGGATGGTTTCACAAATCATACAAGCCTTTATTTCCTATTTCGTTTAACTCAAAAGTTCCTTTATACTAGAAGAAAAGGAACCTACCAGGAAATCCAAGTAACTTTTCTAACAACCATCTCAGTTAAAAAGTTTACTCTTTTCAGTCCCATTTACATGTATATATTTTTATGATTCTTTGTTTTCTTCTTTTTCTTTTCTAGCTTTCACAAAACTAATAGTTGATTGACCAAGGTCCAAGAATACTGAACATAAGCCTTGTTTTATTTTTCTATGGGCATTTTTGGGTTGTATCATAATTATAGTTAATATTAATAATAGATTTCTAGATGGCAAAGGTTCATTCGTTAATTTCACTTCCCACTTTTGAGTAGTACGTCCTACATGTATGCGTGGATATAATCTTTGATATAAAAGTAAAAATCATTAAAGAAAAGGAGAAGATCATGAAGATAATATGAATGAAGATGATTAGTACGTATATATATTTATTAGTTCTTTCATTGGGTATTTTGATCTTTTTGAAGTGGCTGCTTTTATAGAGGTGGTGTCAGGTTAGCTTTCTATAACTCTTTGTATGAGTATGATTAACTATGTGGTGAGGGCTAGATGGTAAATATTGCTTAGTGCTTGTATATGATGTGAAATTATGTATGGATTGATTTATTTATTTTCCTTGATGCGTTGGAATTGTTTTTGAAGTGTTTCATATGATATGTGAGTTAGTATGTGTTTAGGAGAGCCGAAAGAAGGTGTTTAGAATTGTTTGACTGAAAAAGGGGTTGTGACTCTAAAGAACCTCCGAGCTTCTAATCTAGATCGCATTCAATTCCACTGTTGGATTTGCCTACAAGTTGAAGAGTGTGTTCAAGACATTCTCATCTAAATTTCCATCGTTCAGTTTCGTTGACTTTTGTATGGGAGAAATGAGCTCACGTACTCTATTTCAAATTGTGAATCAGTTTGGAAATCAGACGCAATTCGTTAATTGTTGGATCGGTCTCAAATTTGGGTATCAATTTTCTGAAATGTGGTTTTAGGTTTTGACCTTAGAATTTTTATTATTAGGTTTATAATGGGAGAAGTAAAGAAAATTTAATTAAGAGCAGAAAGGGCAAACTAGTCTTTTAATATTTAGTTGAGGGGCATTTTTGTCAAATATTTTATATTTATTTTAGCTTTCTCCCAATTCAGCCGCGTGCAACCCTTTCTTCTTCTCTTCTTCTTTATTTTCTCTCAAACCCTTACATTTCAATCCACAAATTGAAGGCTAAATTTTGATTTTCTTGAGGACCTCCAAGAGGTAAGTTTGTTCCTCTCAATCTCCTCTACATTTCTACTATTTCAATTTTCAATACGGTGCATTTTTATTTTTCTTCTCACTTGGTTGGGCTTGAATGGAGTGGGAAAAGTATTATCATGGTTTCATTGTTGTGATTTTACACCTAGAACACTAGAATCATGTTTGAAGTAGAGGATTAAAAGTGGTTGAGCTAAAAACCTTAGGAATCCTAATTCGTAGGTACTGTTCACTGAAATTCTGGGACTTGTGTGAACAGAATTAGGAATTGGTGTCTTCATAAAAGTTGTAGGAAATTATGTTCCCGATAATTTCTACAACTTTTATAAAACACCAATTCCTAATTTTGTTCAGTCTCAGAATTTCAGTGAACAGTATCTACAAATTAGGATTTCTAAGGTTTTTAGCTCAACCACTTTTAATCCTTCACTTCAAACATGATTCTAGTGTTCTAGGTGTAAAATCACACCAATGAAACCATGATAATATTCTTCCCACTCCATTCAAGCCCAGCCAAGTGAGAAGAAAAATGAAAATGCACTGTATTGAAAATTGAAACCGTAGAAACGGAGAGGAGATTGAGAGGAACAAACTTACCTCTTGGAGCTCCTCAAGAAAATCAAGATTTAGTCTTCAATTTATAGATTAAAATGTAAGGGTTTGAGAGAAAATAAAGAAGAAGAAAGGGCTGCACGCTGTTGAATTAGGAGAAAGCTAAAATAAATATAAAATGTTTGACAAAAATGCCCCTCAACTAAATACTAAAGGACTAGTTTGTCATTTTTGCTCTTAATTGAATTTTCTTTACTTCTCCCATTATAAAACTAATAATAAAAATTCCAACGGTCAAAACTTAAAACCACGTCTCAAGAAATTGATATCCAAATTTGAGACCGATCCAACGGTTAAAGAATTGGCGATCATGATTTTACTGAAACTGTTCGGGATTCCAGCTAATTTGAAACAGAGTCACGGTTAGAGTTCTATTTCTGCCCATACAGAAGTCCAAACAAAAACCTGAACGGTAGAAATTTAGATGAGAATGTCTTAGGCAAATCCAACGGTGGAATTGACTGCGATCTGAACTGGAAGCTCGGATGTTCTTTGGAGTGACAACCCCTTTTGCAGCCAAACAATTCTAAACCCCTCCTTTCAACTCTCCTAAAAACATACTAACTCACATATCATACGAAATAATTCCAATGCATCAAGGGAAATAAATAAATCAATCCATACATAATTCCACATTATATACAAGCTTTAAACAATATTTACTATTAGACACACAGTTAAAGAACTATCTAACCCTTACCACACAGTTAATCATGCTCATACAAAGAGCTATAGAAAGCTAACCTGACAGGTGGGGACACAGCTGACTCTGAATCTGATCAAGATCAACCATATGACTAATAATTGAAATTATGCTAAAACATAAAGATCATAAGCAGATATATGAATGATAATTAGAAATGTCATTTTTGACAACTATTTTGTTATTAATATATAAATATTTTGGGCATAAACCAAAGAATAAACAAATAAAACAAGAGTATAAGTAAAAAAAGCAAAAAAAATAGGACCACGACTTGTCTCTGACAAGTCACTCAATGTCACAATCCACTAAGCCAATTATTTACTCTTGGAAACTTGTTTATGTTCCAGAGTGAAGACATTTGAAACGATCTTCCGTACTAATGCAGCTTTGGTAGATGTGACAATTGGAAACGTGAAAATTTTGAATGGAAATGAAAGTTGAGTGAGATGGAAAAACTAATTTTCATTGTTATTAGTAGATAAAAAGGGTAAAAAAATAAAGTACTTCAAATGGTACTAGCTTCTCTAAAATAAAATGTAAAAATAAAAAATAAAAAATCACATCCTTATTTTGTAAACTTGCTTTATTTAAATTTAATATCAAGTGCATGTTTGACATATTCTTGGTACATATTTTCCCATGTTTTAAATTAGTAAAGCTGCCTTGAATACGGCGTTACTGAAAAGATGCCTTGAAAGTGGCACTAGTGATTTTAATTTGAAACATTATCGTATGGATCGGATACTATTTTATTTTTTTCATTATTTCTTCTTGTTTAAGGTTGGCCAAATGTTTTGAACTGAAGAAAAAAATGATTTAGGTAGATCAACTAGTTCTTCGTAATGGGATGTAGGTCAATCTCCTACAATAGACTCTTTCCATCTTTTCTAAGGGTTGCGAAGTTACATTGGTTACCACTCTCTCAAAGGTTAGGATTATTTTCCCTTCTGTCATTATGCTTGTTTGATGATTTATGTTTTGTTCAAATACTAGTTTTACATTTTTTTTTTGTCGCAATAGCTGCTTAGTGCATCTCTGTTGCTCCTTCAGGTCAAAAGTATTTTATTTTTATGATTCGGGACCCAGTGTACTACAATATTGTTGCAATAGTGGTTCTCTTGCGAACTTTCAAGGTAATCTTTGGGTTAGAAATTTTTTAACGCCTGTTGACTGTCGTAATTAGAAGTACCATTTGATATGTTCATTACTGAATTTCTGATAGAAGACAAAATTCCTGTTTTGATTTAATAACAGAAATCATTTATTGATTTTTATTCACTAAATCAAATGTATCTATATATTTCCTTTAGGTCAGGAGGATATTGGAATATATCCTTATTCTTTCCTGTGTAAATCTTGGTTCTGTTGTCATTTTAATAAGTTTTTCATTAGTGAAGTATTTGCATAAAATCATGAACGAAATTCATGTCTTTAAACATAACACATAAAAAGGAAAATACGCATTCTTTTTCATTAATTGAGATCCTACTTTTATTTATTGCTTTGACCTTATAGAAATTGTTTTAATTAAAATATAGAAGTTAATCTTCAGGAAGCAGGTTTCTTTTGTAGCCTTCATACATACAATTAATATTGGTTATATAGTATTAGTTCATTTGAGCTAATGAATTGGATTTGTAGCATTGAGATCATATGCTCGTGACACACGTAGAGGCTATGATCTCTTTGGCAGTGGCAGACCAGGGGATGAAGTGTTCAAGAAAGCGTGGGAAAAGGAGATGGATGAAGATAACACTCTGTGGACCGGAAGTGAGGATGAAAGTGATGAAGAAATGGGTTCTAAGAGTAATCTTGATAAGGAGATAAAGAAAGCAAGGCTGGAAGCTAAAAAACATTCAGACTTGATTGATGCTGATGACAGTGATGAGTTACGAAGTGTCTGGTCTGGCAGTGATGAAGAGAAGACACTGTGGACTGGTGATGAAATGGATAGTGATGATGATGTTCCAACTGAAGCTTACCCGAATGAAAGTAGTGACAAGTACATAGATAAATTGTTTGAGTTTGATGAAGTTCCCAAATACAGAACCATTTCAGAGATGTTGAAAGATGAACAAGAACCCGAGGAGTTGTCACCAGGAAAGCAAGCTAGGAAGATTGCTGTTGAGAATGCTCTAAAGAAATTAAAGAAAGGTCCAGATGGGAGGTATACTAATGTGTGGGAGGTTATGAGTGATTTGGATATTCTAATTGGAGCTTTTGAAAATGTTGTTTCAGGACCAGAATATGAAGAACTTAGACAAGGAGGGCCTAAACAGCTAAATATTCAGTTTTTCAAGGACATACAAGCACGTATGAGAGATCCAAATTACAAGTTCTCGCCTGAGTTAAAATTGAGACCAAAGAGTAAACTGGTTTCTAGAAAGAAATGGCAAAAGGCAGAGTCCAGAAGGAGGAAAGCACGAAAGAGATAAAGATATAAATGTTTTCTCAACATTGATGCACAAGTTAGGCTCTTATGATGTTTTTGTATCATTGTACAGTACATGCTACTTAATGCATCAAAATCATATTTATATATTGATTGGTAATATTTTTTTCAATTGTTAGCCAAAATGTTTTGAAAGTTAACATTGACTGCAGGGTTTATGGCCGTCTTAAATGGTAGTTTACTTTTATATCATAAACTCGTCAACATTTGTCTGTATTTTTTTTTTTTGGACTGAGGAAACAATTTTGTTTTTCATAGTATGCAAGATGAAGGGGGAGATGGTTTTAATTATTTATTTATTTATTTTGTTACATGGAGGGCCCATCTAACCAGGCAGACTAGGAAAGAGAGTACATAGCAGGTGGTTGTTGTAGGGAGAGTACGTAGCCATTTTACTCTCCATATTTCTTTGGGTTGTGGTAAAGAGAGTAATTAGAATATGGAATCTTAGTATGTAATTGCAGCCAAAGAAATGCTCCTTACCTAGTTGATATAAGGTTTGTTAAGAAATTAATGTTAGCTATGAAATCAATAATGAGTTGAGCATAAGAAAACACTATCATGTTCGTGAAAATATGATTGATTTAGTTTTATTTTTAAATTTTTAAAAAATAATTTTAGAGATTAATTAAAATATACTTTTTGAAAATAATTTGAAAAAAGATTTATTCTGATCTGAAGATTATTTTAGAAGAAAAAAATGATATTAATAATGACAAAAAGTCCTGAAAAAGTTTAAATAATTAATTAAGTAATTTCATAATAAAAAATTAACAACACAATATAATTATTAATGAAATAAAATTTACATTTAATTTTTAATTTTTTAATTTTTAAAACTAAAAAAATAAAAATTATTTTAGTAAAACAAAAATCCAACTCTTTTAGTTTTTAAAAATTAAAAAGTTAGAAACCAAACAAATATATGTCATAAATCTCTTAGTATATATAAGATTAAATATAAGACAGTAATTTGGATGGAGAGAAAAATAATAAAAGTTGAGAAAAAATAATGAAAAGACAGTCATTTGTAAGATTGATTTGACTTATTAAATAATAAAATAAACTTATAATTAATCAAAATATCTTTAATATAAATAAATAAAAAATTAAATTAGGATTTAATTTAATATAAAATAATTACTTAATAAAATAGATAAAAATAAATTAAAATTAATTTATATAATTACAAATAAAATTTTGATATTTTTAAACATATTTATATTTTATAATTTATTTTTATAATAATTTATACGTACTATTAAATTGTAAAAGTTATTTTAAAAAAATACAATGTAATTTTATATGTTTTAATATTATTTTAAAACTTAACAAAATAATATAAATATTAAAAATTTCATTAATTTAAAATGATTGATTTAATATATACTTTTAAAATAAAAAAGTTATATATATATATATAATTATATATTTATAAATCAATATTTGACTATTATAAAAATATATTTTTAATCATTTTTACATAATATTATTCTACAATTGAGTTAACAGAATAATTATTGACAAGAAATAATTTTGTCAAAGAAAAAAAGACACAATGATGTAATATTACATAATGGATATTATACATCTTCGCATAAATAAAATATACTTTTTAACATAATTGATTATGGATTATTTTTAAGGATAACAAAGTAATATCAATATTTTACGTTAAATTTTTATCCAAATATTATATATCTTATTGAAAATTTAATAAACGTGAATTCCATACACATTTCTTATCAAATCCTCTAAAATTGATTAATACAAACGTGATAAGTATCTTAGATCTGAGCTCTATTTTCTCATTAAATTAATAGAAATAAACAAAGAGTCAATTGATAGTTTTGATGTGGTAAAAAAAAAGTCAAATTATATTAGCTTATAAAATTATTTATAAGAAGATATTTATAAATTATATCTTAGTTATATCATATCAATAATTAAAATCGCAATTAAAATAAATTCTCAAATTGTATTAAAAAATAGATTTTAATAATTATAATAAAATTGATTTATAAAATAAAATTTACTTATACTTTAACACTATAATTTTTTTTGTTTATTTTCGGTCCACATGATATTCAGCAAATCATAACTTTTACAGCCATTTATATATGCCAAACTCATGATTGGTCCCATATTGGCAAGCATGGATTTAGTTTTCTATTTATGCAAGAATTTAATTTTAGGCAACTAATTCAGTGGAGGCTTTCTGACCAGTTGGGTGTTTTCAACCAAGAAATTTAATACTGCACATATGTTCTCAGTGGAGTCAGACATATTTTCATACATTTTCTTTTCTCATTTTTTAATTGTTGTTTGAAAGATCAACAACCAATTTTTTTGTATCATTTTCATTTTGAAATGAAATTGTTTAAAATTTTAGATTTCAAGAATAAGACAGAATAAAACATGTCTATAATGTTTGAAAGACGTGGTACAGATTGTTTGTGTTAGAAAATGATAAACATATGAAGCTCATTGGTGTAGTGTCAATATCTATCACATGCCCTATTCAATGGAATGGGTGGATCTGTGAAAGCCCCAGAAGAGATTTGATCGAAGACAACCTTGTTAGCTGCTTCAGTGTAGTGGGTCCCATCCCATATCACTCTAGCAGATGGTCGTTCACATGAACCCACAAAAATATCTTTGCCATTGACCTTAATGGTTCCTCCACATCCAACGCTATTGCTGAAGTTGTACTTCCCTCCATAGCCACAACAAGCAACATGTGGAAGCTCAAAGCCTGCTCATTATAATAAAACTCTCAAATAGTAACTCACGTTGTTGAGGATAAGAATGAGATAATGTCATTTTAATTTGGCTCACCATATTTCTTTGGATTGCTGAAAAGAGAGTACTTAGGAGTGTAGATGTCTACATATGTGATTGCAGCCAAAGGAAGTTCCTTACGGAGTTGAGCCAAGGCTTCCTTCAAATTTTGGTTGAAAGACTGAGCCACTTCATTATATGCTTTTGCACAACCATACTCATCCAGTTCAGCAGATGCAAAATTGGCCAAAATCGTAGGGAGACAACCAATGGGTCCAGTGTTGTGAATCCAAAATGATCTTGCCCCCAGATTGTATATGTTCTTCACCACAAACGTTCCACCAACTTAGCATAATAAATTATGAAATCTACTTTTGTACAAATATAGGTAGAAAGGGTATTTATTATGCAACTACCTTTATGTTTGATGTGAAAGTCGAGATTATATCAGGTGTAGAAACATTTACTTGTTGTAGGGTCATGTTACCAAAAATGCCAGCTGTTAGATCATTTTGGCCTATATCAAATGTGTATAGAGCTTCATCAAAGTATTCTTCTCTGGGCATAAGGGTTGCAAACACCCCACCTGCCATCCAAAGTTTAAAACAAACATCACATTATATTTATTAAGAGGAACATGATATCATATGTTACCTGGGAAATTCTTAATTGAAACTCAGAATACCAAGACATAAATTATTAACTTACCTTGGTCTCTAATGAACTGTGTAGTAGGTTTAAAACGTTCGAATTGCGAGTACTGATATCCAAAGTTGAAAGGACTGAATCTAGACTGCCCAAAACCTTGTTGGAGTCTGATTGTAGCTCCAGCTGATGCAAAATTTGCTCCATGTGAGAAGTTGGACCCCATTGAATCAAGATATGGACTGAGATAATTGTGTCCAAAACTATTTGCTGAAATTACAAAATCAAGGGACAAAATTAGGTATCAAATCTTCGCTAGGAAGAATGGTTAACTTACTGCTTCATGTGACAGTTGATTCAAGAATAGACTTAACTTTTTTTAACCTACTGCTGAATATCATATATAGCATAGCTGTAAATATTCATGAACAAAACATATGTTATTTAACCTACTGCTGAATATACCATGTATCATACAGCTTATAGCTTTACAATAACGCTTAAAATGTAACTTAGTAGTTAATTCATCATTTGTGTAATATATGGTAGCACCTTTCCCAGAATCGTTTGATGAAAGGAGATTAAAATTTAGATGGATGGATCTGGTACCATCCAAACGTTGACCAACCTTCATAATCATTCAACTATAAATTATTGTTTGTGAAAAAGGTGGAACACAAAGAAACCCCGAAGAGAATATGTTGAAAATGACCTAAAATGTTCTTCTGCGAGCGTAACACATTCACATTATACTCTCATTACATGTATACCACGTGCTATGATGCTTCAAACAAAGTACAATTAAAAAACGTAAATCATAGGAAAGAGAAAAATAATGAATGTTACCCAAGAAGTCAATGATGAGTCGGCCATCACAGAACCTTCCAGCAGGTCTATGGAAAAAGGTTTCTCCATTGGGTGGTTTTGGTCCAGCAAAAGGAAAGGAAGCAGCCAAGCCACCAGTGTCAGCGTTTGAGGCACCAAAGTTGAAGATGGCAGGGAAATCACAACGTTTTGTGGCCATTGCAGGGTTCAGTGATGTTGCAGCAATGGACCAAAGAACAAGAGACACAAGAGGGTTGTGAAATAGCTTGGTAAGGATAGCAAATTCCATGAGAGACATTATTATTAATTTGGCGAGGAATAAAGGTTCTTTGGGTCTGCATATATATAATACTAGAGAAACACTGAACTACCCATTTTTGTGTCAAATTCATGAATGGTCCATTTTGGTTAACATGGACTATGTACTTGGAGTTTCAATATATATTTTAGGTGAGAATTTAATTCAGACAATTAATTCAGTGAAGGCTTTCTGACTTTAGGGGTCCTATTTTGAGACTTGGTGCGTATCAGAAAGGCATACTCTTCTAGGTTAAAGTTTACAAAAATATTACTTCCATTCATTGGTTTAAAGTTTTCCATAGAATTAAACAAAGTGGAATATTCCTTTTCTACTGACTAACGTCTTCATAATACTTACTGATAAGAATTCTAAAGTTTAGTTTTTTCCCGGGAATACATTGGAAATAAAAGTAGGGAAAATACTAAATTGTACCATTTTTCTTTAAAATTATTAATGGGTAAGTTGCATTAACAATACGATTTTACAACATGTAAGATAAGTTGATAGTTTAATTAGGTTTTATGGGTGAGTTGCATTGACAATACGATTTTACAACGTGTAAGATAAGTTGATAGTTTAATTAGGTTTTATGTTCTAATATTTTTTACTGTATATTTGTTTAATTACTATGTGTTTTTGCTATTATCTTTTCCATGTATAAAATTAATATGATATTTTTACGAAGTCACTCGTTTCTCTCTTCAATCCATCGAAGTTGAACCCTTGTTGCTTCCATCTTCAACTATTTGAGCCTCCACGACGTCGTTTTAATCTTACTATTGCCAGGTCAACTTTTGCTATTACCACTCTCCCTTCTTCTTCTTCCTGCTTTGCTGCATTTACTTTGCCTTTTCGATTTGGATTGTGATATGCACCAATTTTCTTTACCACGCTGATTATTCTAATTAAAACCCAAATTTATCAATTAGTTCAATGAATGGTATTAGAAGTCTATAGCACCCATAAAACCATTCTGCACCGTTAAATTGCTTTGTCATTGTTCAGTCATTCGCTCTTCTTAAAAGAGTTCAGTTCTAGCATGGTCTCTTTTTTTTTTATTTCTTTAAGGAAAAGGAATAAAAAGTAAAAAATAAAAATAAACTCTTCATTTCTTGTTTTCTGAGTAGAGGATGCGTTGCAAGGGCCATTTTGGTTACTGAAATGTGGAATTTAGCGGTTTAACTGCAATGATCTCAAACTATTTGGCAAAATGTCAGGTCCATTCTACAAAACGAACTAATGGTTTGATGAAGAATTTTGTTAGAGATGATTGATTTTTCATCTTAAAATTAGAAATTATGAATGTTGTGGAAATCCAACATTGCTAGAAAATGAGAAAGTTTAATAAGATACTGAGATATACCCATGTACCTAGTGTCTTATGTCTTGAAGTTAATAAGTTAAAGTAGCTCTAAACCCAATGCTTTACTAGTTTTGGTTAAAAGTGGTGTAATGTTGATTAACTATTGGCCCATCAATTTCTCTCCTGTGTTTCCCGCAAATACCTAACGATGAAGCAGGTTAAAATATGAATAAGATGTTGTTGAAAAGATGCCTTGAAAGATGGCACTAGTGATTTTAATTTGAAGCATTTTTGTATGGATTGGCTAGGACTGTTTTTTTTTTATTATTATTTCTTCCTCTTTAAGGGTAGCCAAATGTTGTGAACTGAAGAAAAAAAAAATGATTTATACAGATCAACTAGTTCTTCCTGATGGGATGTAGGTCATTCACGTACAATATTCTCTTTCCATCTCTTCTAAGGGTTGCAAAGGTACATTGGTTACCACTCTCTCAAAGGTTAGGATTATTTTTACTTCTGTCATTATACTTGTTTGATGATTTATGTTTAGTTGAAATACTAGTTTTAGATTTTTATTCTTTTTTGTCGCAATAGATGCTTACCTCATATATGTTGCTCCTTCAGGTCAAAAGCATTTTATTTTATGATTTGGGACCCAGACTACTACAACATTGTTGCAATAGTAGTTCTCTTGTGAACTTTCAAGGTAATCTTTGGGTAAGAATTTCTTTAACGCCTGTTGACTTGAACTGGTATGGTAGTGTAGTAATTAGAAGTACCATTTGATATGTTCATTACGGAATTTCTTATAGAAGACAACGTTCTAGTTTTGATTTAATAACAGAAACCAATTATTGATTTTTATGCACTAAATCAAATGTATCTATATATTTCCTTTAGGTCAGGAGGACATTGGAATGTATTCTTATTCTTTTCCATGTAAAATCTTGGTTCTGTTGTCATTTAACATGTTTTTCATTAGTGAAGTATTTGCATAAAATCATGATCGAAATTCGTGCCTTTAAACATAGCACATAAAAAGGAAAACAGACATGATCTTTCATTAATTTCTCTATATCCTACTTTTATTTATTGCTTTGACGTTATGAAAATTGTTTTAATTAAAATATAGTAGTTAATCTTCAGGAAGCAGGTTTCTTTGTAGCCTTCATACATACAATTAGTATTGGTTATATAGAATCAGTTCCTTTAAGCTAAAGAATTGGATTTGTAGCATTGAGACCATATGCACGTGACACACGTAGAGGCTATGATCTCTTCGGCCGGGGTAGACCAGGGGATGAAGAGTTCAAGAAAGCGTGGGCAAAGGAGATGGATGAAGATAACACTCTATGGACCGGAAGTGAGGATGAAAGTGATGAAGAGATGGGTTCTAAGAGTAATCTTGATAAGGAGATAAAGAAAGCAAGGCTGGAAGCTAAAAAACATTCAGACTTGATTGATGCTAATGACAGTGATGAGTTACGAAGTGTCTGGTCTGGCAGTGATGAAGAGAAGACCTTGTGGACTGGTGATGAAATGGATAGTGATGATGATGTTCCAACTGAAGCTTACCCGAATGAAAGTAGTGACAAGTACATATAGATAAATTGTTTGAGTTTGATGAAGTTCCCAAATACAGAACCATTTCAGAGATGTTGAAAGCTGAACAAGAACCCGAGGAGTTGTCACCAGGAAAGCAAGCTAGGAAGATTGCTGTTGAGAATGCTCTATAGAAATTAAAGAAAGGTCCAGAAGGGAGGTATACTAATGTGTGGGAGGTTATGAGTGATTTGATATTCTAATTGGAGCATTTGAAAATGTTGTTTCAGGACCAGAATATGAAGAACTTAGAGACAAGGAGGGCTTAAACAAGTAAATATTCAGTTTTTCAAGGACGTACAAGCACGTATGAGAGATCCAAATTACAAGTTCTCGCCTGAGTTAAAATTGAACCAAAGAGTAAACTGGTTTCTAGAAAGAAATGGCAAAAGGCAGAGTCCAGAAGAAGGAAAGCACGAAAGAGATAAAGATATAAATGTTTTCTCAACATTGATGCACAAGTTAGGCTCTTATGATGTTTTTGTATCTTTGTACAATACATGCTACCTAATGCATCAGAATCATATTTATATATTGATTGGTAATTTTTTTTTTTTTTTTCAATTGTTAACCAAAATGTTTTGAAAGTTATATTGGTCAACAGAATAATGAATTTGAAACAATAATAAAGTAATAATTGCCACATCGTAAAATATACAAGAAGGGTATTCAACTACCTTAACATTTTTTGAGAAAGTATTGGCATCCCCAGGGAATCAGGATATGCACTAAGAAAAGGGACTCCAAAAATCTATGCTGAAATTACCCAACTAAAGATAAAAATTGGCATCACATTGGAGGTGGAGGTTCACATTGGAGCCATCACAAATTGACCCATAATCTTTATACTGTAAAGCTAGACTTTTCATAAAGAATTTTAGTATTAACTAAATTTTATACCAAAAAAACCACTAAAATATTTGCTGAGTGAGAGGTTGGTTAAAGCTAATGTTGAAGGTTGATTCTAATTGTTGGGTTTAACAGTGAGAAGAGTTTGAGAAAGGCAAAGAGAGAACAAAGTACGCAAAGAAAAAAATGAATCATATTTATTTTAATGAATCGTATTTATTTTGAAATGTATCTTGATATTTATATTATATACCAAATTAGAATATGAACTAAAAGAATATAATATAATTTTTTATTTATTTATTTTGAATCACATATCTAACCCTCCTCCGTGATTCAAAATACATTCAAATATATGAAGTGAAACATACTACATTTAAAACACATCGTAAACACTTAATCTTTCAATCTTCAATGACTTGGTCATGATGTCAGCCAGTTGATTTTCATTCCTACAATGGTGTAACTGTATCACCCCCTTACTTACTTAATCTCTCAAAAAATGATATTTTGTCTTTATGTGTTTACTTCTGCCATGAGACATCGAATTTTTTGCCAGATCTATGATAGACTTGCTGTCAACAATTAACACAGCAGAATTTGAATCATGAATCTTCAATTCAGTGAGAAGGGAAAGCAACCAGTAGGCTTGACATGCTGCAGAGCAAGTTGATATAAATTCAGCTTCACATGTTGATAATGCAACCACGGTCTGTTTCCTTACTATTGAACCATTCGGCATGAACACTTGCCCCATAGTGCTTTTCCTGTCAACTTGATCACTATTGCAGTCAGAATCAAAGTAGTCAACCAACCTTATATCACCATTTTCATTCTTCATTTTATCAGAAAACAACAACCCATACTCCTTGGTTCCCTTTAGGTATCTCAATATTCTTTTTGCTGCAAGCATATGAGACTGTTTTGGACTGCTCATAAACCTGCTCACCAAACCAACACTAAATGTTATCTCAGGTCTGCTCTGGCATATGAATCTTAGACTTCCCACAATTTGTCTAAACAAAGTTTCATTCACAGCTTCCTCACGTTCATTTACTGCAAGCTTTAGATTTGACTTTGCAGGGGTTTTAGTAGAGTTGCACTGCAACATGTTAAACCTCTTAAGTATTTTTGTTATGTACTTTCGTTGGTGCAAAATGATTCCTTTCTCAGTGTATATGAACTTCAACCCAAGAAAAAATGACAGTAACTCCAAGTCAGTCATTTCAAATTCACGTTTCAGTTTCTCCTTAACTACTTCTATGTCATCTTCATTGTTTCCTGTTATCACTAAATCATCAACATAGAGACAAATGATAAGAACTTCACTTAACTATGTGTTCTTTACATATACACCATGCTCAACAACACATTTCTGAAATCCAGCAGCACCAAGAAAAAAAATCTATCCTTCTATTCCAAGCTCTTAGAGTTTGCTTTAACCCATATAAAGCTTTTCTTAATTTTAACACTTTGTGCTCACTTCCTTTTATCACAAACCCGAGGGGTTGTCTCACATAAATCACCTCATCTAACCATTCATTGAGAAAAGTAGATTTGACATCCAATTGCCACAGTTTCCACCCTCTAATATTGGTCAAAACAACAACCAATCTTACTGTCTCCAACCTTTTTATAGGAGCAAAAACTTCAGAGTAATTCACTCCCTTCTTTTGCATGAATCCCTTGGATACTAGTCTAGCCTTATGTCTAGTTATTGACTCATCTGGTTTCAGCTTAACCTTAAACACCCACTTGACAGATATTGGATTTTTTTGTTGTGGTAAGTTAACCAACTCCCAGATCTGATTTTTATTAATGCTCTCTAGTTCTTCCTTCATTACTTTTATCCACACTTTATCAAGAATAGCTTCATCAAAACTTGCAGGTTCTATATCATCCATAAGCGCTAGTCCCTGAAGCAACTATCCATCATTAGCAATTTCGTCATCAGTATAGACTTGATAGTCTAAGAAACTTTTTGGAGTCTTCCTGTTTCTCACTACTCTCTCCTTCACCCTTTCTAACTCAGTATTGTTTGTTTTCTCTTGCACGTTACTTTCTCTTAGCTGAAACTGAAAACTAAATGCAGTGGCTGATTGCAAGTCTGAAACAGGGCTAGATTCATCAAATATCACATCTCTGCTGAAACATACTTGTTCAGTTCTAGGGTTAAAAAGTTTGTATGATCCAGTAGAGTTGCAACCTATAAAGATCATAGATTCACTCCTGTCATCAAGCTTCTTTCTACATTGTGATGGTATATATGTTTGTAGCATTTTGAACCGAAAACTCTGAAATGCTTTACCGAGGGTTTAGTCCCAATCCACACTTCTTCTGGAACTTTAAACTCAATCCTTTGGTGGGACATCTATTGAGAACATAAATTATTGTCATTGCTGCCTCACCCCAAAACTGATTTGACAGATTCTTCTATCTTAACATGTTTCTCATCATATTCGCAATGGTTTAGTTCCTTCTCTCAGCAATCTCATTGTGCTGAAGAGTGTAAGGAGTTGTGATCTCATGGACAATCCCTTGTTTTGTGAAAAACTTCACAAACTCATTAGACACATATTCTCCACCACCATTCGTGCGCAATATTTTTAGAGATTTTTCATATTGCTTCTCGATCATCACCTTAAAATCTCTAAAAATGGTGAATGCTTCATTTTTTGTCTTTATCAAGAACAACAATAGTTTCCTACTGTACTCATATACAAATAGGATAAAATACCTATTTCCTCCCAATGAAAGCACATCAAATAGTCCACAAATATCTGAATAAACCACATCTAACAAACCTTTAGCTCTAGACACTGTATATGAGCTAAAAGAATTTCTAGACTACTTATTCATCAAGCATTTATCACACACTTCCTTTGGCACTATTATTGTGGGCAGACCCGTCACCATACTGTGCTTCTTTAAAAGACCCATGTCTTTAAAATTTAAATGCCACAGCCAAGATTCATCTACAGAGGCAGATAAACATTGAGAGTTCCGAGTACTCAAACTCACCTTGAATGTTTTGTTTTGGGCCAGTGGAACTTTGATCGCCAATTTCTCTAATGCATCATAAACTTCCAGAGAATTATTCATCGTCTTCATAGAAAATCCCTTTTCCAAAAGCTGACCCATACTGATTAAATTGTTTTTCATTTCGGGGACGTATAAAACGTCTGTAATCATCACCTTTTTTCCATCTTGTCTGGTTACCAGGACATTACCAGTCCCCTCAGCTTGAATTACTCTATTATCTGCAAATCGTATAGTGTTTCTCTTGCTGCTATCAAGATTAACAAACCACTCACGGTGCCCTGTCATGTGATTTGAACACCCAGAATCGATATACTAACTATCGTACACAAGACTATCTGAACCTGCAACCATCATTAACATTGCAACCATCATTAACATCACACGTTGTTTTTCATATTCATCTTGTTCTTCTTTGACCATGTGTGCCTGGTGATCGTTGCTTTTTCCTCTAGTCTCCATCTTCCTTGGTTCTGTTGTACATTCAATGGAGAAATGTCCAATACAGTTGCAGTTGAAGCATTTGATTCGCTTCCTGTCAATCTTTCTTTTGCCTCCTCTCCAATTTCCTACCCCTTTTTGCTTGTTAGACGATTCTGCCTCTTCATCATTACTTCTTTCCTGTTCTTGATTCTGATTGAATCTTCCATAACTATTCTTGAAATTTCTCCCCCTTCCGCGACCACGATAACCCCCTTTCGACCAATTACTATTCTTCTTTGATGTCTGTAATGCCTGGTGATCGCTCGGCTTGTCGGTTTTCCTCTCGATTAACCTCTGTTCATGGGCTTCTAAACAACCTTGTAGTTCTTCTACTTTCAATTCATCAATTTTTTTGGACTCTTCAATGGCCACGACAATGTGATCAAATTTAGGGTTCAGAATTCTCAATATCTTCTCTACGATTGTCTGATCTGTCATCTTCTCACCACAATTCTTCTCACCACGATTCGATTAAAGAAATTGGTTATTCTCTCGTTGCTTTCCATTTGCATAAATTCGTATTGATGCCGCATGATTTGCAACCTAACTTTCTTCAATTTCTCCGCTCCACGCTACATTTCTCCAGAATTTGTCACGCCTCGTGAGAAGTTGTAGCTCCTGCAATCTTTTTGAAGTGAGTTTCATCAACACATTGATGAATAAGGAAGGTGATTTTACAATCTTTCTTCTTGTTTTCGCGATAAAGAGTCTTCTCCGCCTCTGTAGCTTTCTCTCCAAGCACAGAGAACCCTTCTTCAACATG